CTGCAAATAGTGTATCTCATATTCCAATCGATTATCACCATGTTCCCCATTAAAATTGCTATTTGTGGGTATCCCCTATTTTCAGACAAACCCACATATCAGGCAAATCTACAGGTTCATGCTGGACTTTTGCATTGATCACCATCATTCATATTCTACGTGTCTTTTATAAAGCTCTTTTAAGTATTGATCATTTTTTTTTTGTTCTTTTTGGGCGAGAGTTCGAGATCCTGATTTTTCACTGCTTGGTGGTTTTTCGCCCTACCCCTCTGAAAAATGATGGACTTCGTCAGTTGGGATGATGAAATTCCCAACTGTTGATGGAAAGTGATTCAAAATTCCATGGTTCCAGTCCCCACCAACCGGGTATGGACTATTATAGAGGTTGCTGGACCATTATAGACTTTCTTTTATATAGAGGTTAATGGACTATGAATGGCCCACTGATTTAGCGGTTAACGTATGCGGTTGCTCATCTGTTCCGTTGGCGCTCCAGCGCTACTTTAAAAGGCGTCCTGTCGATCAGTAGCGCGGCTGACACCAAATACAGGTCCATCTTGCCCACCTCAGCATGTTACCCTCTGGTACTGTTACAAAAAGCTATTGAAAATGCTGATTCAATGGTGATTTAATGGTGAATTCATTAGGATATATGATGGTATAGCCTCTGGTAATGACTGTTATATAGCTATTGAAAACAGCCATAGAAATAGTGGGTTTACCTATGAACAATGGTGATTTTTCATAGTTTTTTGTATGTTTACCAGAGGGTACATCATGTGGTCACCCGGTAATCAAACATGGCTGGGAAACCCCCGAACAGTCATGGAAGTCTCGTTCGCAATATCGAAAAAAAACATGATGGGAGTTTCGAGCAATGGAACTGATTATTGGAGGGTATCACCATCCATCCATTGACGTGGAGCTGGATGAACCATTATTAGCCATTATTAACGATTACCCTCCAGTAAATTAACATAGATCCTGGTAGATAGGGCTTGGTTCAGATTAGTTTCCTCTAAAGATTGGTGATTTTCAGGGTCAACAAGTTAATTTACCAGAGGGCAACAATATCATGATGGCCATCTGTTTGGATCTCTTGGCTTTTCCCAACACGGAAACTGAAAAACAATGGACGTCCGTTCTTCGGGAAATGATGTACAAAAGTGCAGATTTTCTGTGAATTTCTGAAAAAAAATCGCCTGTCAACTGAACATCAAATCATCTCACTGATCGCCTCGATCTAAATCCCAGGCCCATCCCATTGAAGTTGTAGCTACGGGTCCAATTCTGAGAGTCATCCAGCTGCCTCAAAGCCATACTGCTTGGTGGTTGAGCCCTACCCCTCTGAAAAATGATGGAGTGAAAGTCAGTTGGGATTTTATGGAATTCCGATTTTTTTTTTATGGAAAGTCATTCAAAATTCCATGGTTCCAGTCACCACCAACCAGCACATGTTCGGACTCATGATCTTTAAAGCCCCTCTGCAGCTTCAATGTGCAAGTGGGGGGCTCCAAAATCATCCAACATTGGGTGATGATCAACGGGACAAGCAATGGTTTTGGGTCGCCATATTATACAATGTGAGGCCCCCCAGTGATGTTTGTTGGTTTATAAACCCCCATAACTATAGTTATAAATACCATAAACCATAGTTGTTGGAACTATAAACCAACTTAGCTATCCTGGGGGCTTCACACTGTAGGATTTCCCCCATATTTTCGCGGCATCAATCAGGAACTCACAGGAACTTCCATCTTTTCGGCTTCCGCCTTGGGCCCCGACGGTGAGTTCGACTAAGTCCCGAACATCCTGTGGGCTGTGTGCAGGGAGAGACTTGGAATATGGATGAATATGGGCCATTTCCGGCATCTACTTGCTAATTGGTTTTTCGAGGGTGGTGATTTAGTGAACACCAACGAACTGCATCACTATCATATATTATCATTCACTAACTACAAAAAACAGTTTCAACATCACTAGCCATTTGGTTACCTCCAAACATGACTGGTTGGTGGTATACCTACCCCTCTGAAAAAATATGAGTTCGTCAGTTGGGATGATGAAATTTCCAATATGATGGGAAAGTCATTCAAAATTCCATGGTTCCAGTAGTTCCAGTCACCACCAAGCAGCTAGCCATTTGGTTATCTCCAAACATGAATTCAAAATGAGGCTACAATGTGGTTCCCCCAAGATAGCTAAGTTGGTTTATAAGTGGCTTAACAATGGTTTATGGTAGATATAACTATAGTTCATGGGGATTATAATGGTTTATAAACCAACGTTCACATCACTCGGGGGGCCCATCCTGTATCCCCTCCTCCAACAGATCCCACTGCGAAGATCTGTGGAGTTCCCAGCCTCGCGGTAGAGGCCGAATTGCACCACTCGCATGTCCTGCTCTTGGAATTCGCGCTCCTGCCAGGGTATCCCCATACCTTGGTCACCTGAGGCTTAATGGAGCACGACATTTTTTTGGTGTTTGGGACAAAGCTATCATCGAAATATTCATCAAAACACCTTGGCGTCTTTGAGCTTGTTTGAGGTTCATAATACCCCGGTATGAAACTGAAATTGAAGATATTTGAAATCAGCAGCTATCAAGACTGTGCCATCATTGTCCAACGCGCTAGGGCTCATAAGGATTCCAAAGGCGCGGCGCCTGCTTCAAGTGTTTGTCGAACATGAAATTTTTCCGGTTGTACTTGAAGAGCGCCTGGCTGACCCAAACATGCCCAAACATGCCCAAACATAGCTTGCCGGGTTATGGCAGCCTGGTAAGCTGAAGGGGCCCTTGCTGCGTTTGGGAGATCCACTTTGAATGTGGGTCAACAAGGGTGGAAAATTGGGGCCTTGAGCAAGGCATGTTGGGAATGCAGGAAGATTCTTCTCAGCACAAGCAAGAAAGACACGTCACATGCAGTACCCTGAGCAAGTAATTCTCAAAATTCATCTTCTGGTTGGTGGTTTTAACCATCTTCAAAAATATGAAAGTCAATGGGAAGGATTATCCCATATACCCTCTGGTAATTTAACATAACTATGGAAAATCACCATTTTTAATGGGAAAATCCACTATAAATGGTCATTTTCAATAGCAAACTGTTAGTTTACCAGAGGGTATTATGGAAAAACAATGTTTGAACCCACCAAGCAGTTTTAGATCTAAAAACAAGAGCTGCCCAAGCGTTACAACGCACGTGACCACTGTTATCGGTCATGTCATCATTTCATCGCCTGCTTCTGGTACACCAAAAAACTCAATGTGCAGTGGAAGATATAATATGAGATCTGGTTTGTGGTTTCAACCCCTCTGAAAAATATGAAAGTCAGTTGGGATTATTATTCCCAATATGGGGAAAAAAAGTTCCAAACCACCAACCAGAGATTCTGATCATCTGGCCCATTTGGATGTGGGTCAAAATGGAAGACCTAGGGGACCACAGATGTTAGTCTAGTTTAGTATTAACCATCCAATTATTGGGGTACCTAATTTTGACCCATACCCATTTATGTCCATTAAGGGTTAAAATCCACCTCACCACAATACAAAACCACTGGCTTCACCAAAAAAATGCTGGCTCCGAGCACATCCGACGAAAAATTCGCGACATTTTTTGGCTCGCCGGCCGGCTCAATCCTCCAGGGGGTTGCTTCCCACTTGCGACCTGATCTGATGATCTGATCAGACCAAGGTCAGATCTCTGAGGGTTACCTTGAGAGGAATCTGAATGTTTCATAGTTTCTGGTTGGTGGTTGAGCCCTACCCCTCTGAAAAATATGAGTTCGTCAGGTAGGGTTATTATTCCCAGTATATGGAAAAATAAAAAATGTTCCAAACCACCAACCAGGTTCGGATCAATACATGCCCAATTGCTTTCGATTTATCAAAGTTGTCAAGAGATTGGAATTGGGGAACGGACACTCATGTGCAAGGAGGTAATTTGTAAAAGCAGTGGGCGCAGATTTTGGGGTCTAGGAAGCTGTTCTGGATCAAAATTTCAAAACCAAGATCCGAAACATAGATCTTTTCAAACCACACAATTCCCTGAAACACTCCATGCTAAATCCAAAACAGTCGAAAGATCGGACGGAAAAAGAAGGAAACTGGAAAAAAAAACACATCAAACCATTCGGACTCTCCATGGAACTTCTCATTGCGGCATGTTCAACAGTAATTCCATGTAATTCCTCCATCATCTCCATACTGAAGCCGCACTGGTGCAGCCAGTTGTCAGCTTTCTCCACCGACAGAGCGTCCCTTTTTTGGATCCGCTGGTTGTGTCTGTGTTGACAGCGGTGCACAGGGCGTGTGAGGTGTTCCCACATGGTGGCTTTAGTCCACCACTGTTTTTTGAGCCAATATTTACCATGTGGGTCTGGCTCAACCTTATCGTTTAAATCCGATGCAAGAATCTTGTTCCTTCAACTTTATGAAACACATAGGGATTGGATTGCAGAGCGCTACCAGAATGTCTTAAGGCAATTTATCGAGCACGAAAGCCAGTCTGGAACATCTCATTCCAATGTTACAATACTGGTAATAGCAATAGCCAGCTTTCGATTGTGACATTTTCTTCCAATGTCGATTTTTAAACATGATCTACAATCTACAACTTGTCACTAGCAGGCCTACAAGCGTGAAAGGTCAAACAGCTGTCAACAGCGAGTTTGTTTTCTTGATATCAAATGTGAACTTAGGTATTAAGACCGGAACCTGTCACATGGCATTTATATGCATCTGCACACGGGCAAATATCACAAGCAAATTTAAACAGGATCTATAATGATCTATCTATGTTATATGAATTATGAATCATTATGAATCTATATGAACTACTTATGAGCTAGATTCATAATGATTCATGATAAACATGTTATTTTGTCTGGTTTATGAACTACTTATGTGAACACATAATATATAGCTCTCCTGAAGCGGATCGCGATGACCTGAGCACTGCCAGTGACTGCTGCACTGCATTCATCGGTGCAAAACATCATCGAATCGCCGGCGGCTCCCGTGACTCCAGTGCTTTGTCCTGGAGGGCAGAGAGAGCTGGTGGTTGAGCCGTGCCTTATTGGTTGGTTAATGATGGTTAATATCTGGTTAGATATGGTTATATACTGTTAATAATGGTTAATGTATGGTTATAATGAATAATAATGGTTAATATCGTTATACTGTTAATAATGGTTGATATTACTGGTTATGAGAGATGGTTTTCATGATGGTTAATTAACGTTAATTAGCTATTCTGGTTGGTGGTTGAGCCCGTTGAGCCCTCTGAAAAATGATGCAGTCAGTTGGGATTTTTACATCTTCCCAATATATTGGAAAGTCACAAAATTCAAGTTCCAAACCACCAACCAGACAAAATAGAGAGGTGTCCAAGTGTCTGTTTCTGAACTTTTCTTCAAGCCTCAAGCTCTAACAAAAAATCACCAATGCTTCCACTTAAGATGATTTTCCTGGAATCCTCTGTGTTGCTGATATTGTTGCGATACCTCGATAAGACTCTGGTCTATGCAGGAGCAGGTAAAACTCCGTTATTTGATACTCTTCGCCTTCAATTTCGACCCATGCCTGGTTGGTGGTTTCAACCCCGCTGAAAAATATTAGTCAATTGGGATAATTTTTCCTAATATATGGAAAAAAAATAATATTCCAAACCACCAACCAGACATTCATGTCCACCTCCCAACCTGTCCTTTTTCTTCCTAGATCCTGGGCTGGTCATTCGGCAGCACTACCCCCCTGGTGCTGCTCTCCCCAGCGGATAGTTGACACTTTATGCCGGACATGGTCTGAATTTTGTGTTTTGTTTTTGTGTGATTCTCGTTGACATGACATTTTGATGATGTTAATTCACGTTCTTGTGGGTTTTCCCCTTGTATACCCGGCTAACCGAGCCACTAGAGATCAACATGGCAATTGTATCCATCCATGGCTGGGTCAACTTTGTTGGCAAGAGAAATCGACGGAAATAATTACCTCACTTCATTGCCAATCTTAGATACCCTACAACAACTGACAAATTCTTAGCTGGTGAACAGTTCGATATTCCCATACCAAAAGACGAGTTAGGATTAGTTCGTACCCAGTGGATTGACCTAGTTCAAACTAACATAACTATGGAAAATCAATGAACATCACCATGCTATTCATGGGTAAATCAACTATTTCTATGGGCTATTTTTCATGGGTAAATCATGGTAAATCAACAAGATCCCCCGGGCCCCATCTTCTCGTTGTGTTTTTCGGGCCTCGTCCCTGGGAGACGATGGCTCTGCGAAGATCCGCGATGTGTTCCAGCACTGCCTGGATTGGTTTTCTTGGGAAAATCGAAACCGGAAAGCCATGGGTTTTTACCATCAAATTGTTTGGGCTTTCCGGTTTCAATTTTCCCATCATCCAATTCTATGAAAAATAGATCGAGCAGCTTGAGTCACTGTGAGATCATGTGCTGGTTGGTGGTTGAAACAACCATCTTGAAATGTGGTTTCATTACCCTCTGGTAATGACATTCACCGTTTGCTATTTCTCAGCCATGGCCCTAGTCGAAATAGTGGATTTAGCCATTGATAGCATGGTGGATCTTTCCATAGTTATGTAAACGTTGACCAGAGGGTAAACAGGCCCAATGCCAGAGTCACCATCCAGAAAACCATCCCCTTAGTTTGTGCACACGAAATTGGGACCAATTTTGGTAGCCCCATGGGATGTAAAAACATCGCCCCCATGGGTTCATGGGACACTGGGAGGTCGGTGTGTATCCAAAGTCCGGGCATATCCGATATAGGCGTTGTGACTCTGTCATTGGTGCTGACTTTTACATGTACCAACGCGCATATGCTATGGAACATACTATATATATATATATATATATCTGCGTAAAGTACAATATTTCACTAACCTGAAATGAGCTCTTTGGAGATAGTCAACCCTGCTAACCATCATTCCCAGAGAGGTCGTAGAAAGGTCGTTATAATTTACCCAGATATATGTCTTTCTTGATGAATTCCCGCTTCGAATTCCAAAGATTTTTCAACCCCTTGGGGATTTTTCGAGGACCGAGCTCACACTCCAGGTTTCCAAAGTCATCGGGCTATCCCCAGTCATCATTCATTCTAAGGTTCTAATAGGATTTTCCATGAAATCAACCATATAAACCATCCAGCGATAAAGGGTTAGCCTGATTTTTTAGGAAAGCCCCACATATTTGTGGCACAACGGCGCAACTCTCGTAACGAGTGTCGTGTGCAAAAACTCTTCGCCAAGCGGATGATCATCCCGATTCGGAAAACAGAAACCCGCCAGCCATGGTAAACTCAACATGGCCAACACAAGCCGTCTTAACGATTTAGCGGGTTACCCTAGCTTGGCTTTGTGGGCAGTCATGAGATACTGTAGCTAAAAATACCTTATAATTGGATGGTTAATATTTAAAATGAACAGAATCTGCAGTTGACCTGAAATATTGACCCATAGCCTCATATGCTATGCTATGCGCGGCAAGTTGGATCTTGCCTCCCGACCCGTGCGCTCTTTTGCGCTGCACCTGCAGCGAAAGAAGGTTCACCTTTTCTGTACCCCTCTGAAAAATATGAAAGTCAATGGGAAGGATTATCCCATATAATATGGAAAATAAAAAATGTTTGAAACCATCAACCATATCTCATCAAAAATACTGCATCGGCATCAAACACGGGGTGTTTTAACCATCAGAAATGGAACATGTGGGTCCTCTGGTGCTCTGGCATTTTGGGGTTTGACAAGCTGAAACACATGTGGTAAGAGTGGCTCAATCATGAGGTCTTGGAGTTTCCTTCAAGAATGTTTGTTGGATATCATCATCCTATCCACATATCAAGATAAATTTGATAATACATCACCAACCTGAAAATAGTCTTGGGGACCATTCCCCCAAAAAACATTCACCTCCCTGAAATACGTCACAGAGTGTGGTTCGGTCATGATCAAATTAACATCCAGAGATGTGGCTGATCAAAAGCCTGGTGTCAAGTTAAACATAGTCTGGTTGGTGGTTTCAACCTACCATTGGCTGGTAATATACTGTTAATAATGGTTATATAATATTAATGGTTATTATATGGTTAATGATGGTTAATTAGCTATTCTGGTTGGTAGTTGAGCCCGTTGAGCCCTCTGAAAAATGATGGAGTGAGTTCGTCAGTTGGGATGATGAAATTCCCAACTGTTTCTGGAAAGTCATAAAATTCCATGGTTCCAAAGCACCAACCAGATATATAGGATTTTCATCGTTTTTTTTTTGCTTTTGAGCCATTCCCATATCTGTACTCGGTGGCATCATCATGGATCATCCCAGTTGTAGCAGGCACACATCATTTCAATCCATCATATGTGTCGGTTCTATCCCCATGATATATCTATTAACTTTGTTTAACCCCAAACACGGCTAAATCACTATGTTCTATATCTTCTCTCCATATACCGCCAATTGAATCCCTATTCTGAAACACACCCACATCCTTGTATCATATTGTTAGTTCTATGTCCATGAAATATCCCCATTTCATCGCCATTGCGGCCAACTCAGCATTTTGGCTTTCACCTCTCCATCTCAGATTCGCCAGGCCACTTGAAGACCAATGGCAGTGCCACATCTTTCTTCAACCGCCAGGGGCTCTCGGGCATTTCATAGAGCCTAGGCGCCATGGCGCCATGATGCCACCCCAGGATGTCGTACGGATGATGTGAATCAATGGGATCCAACAGATGGAGCTCTCCGTTAAAATTAGGTGGTACCTAATATGTTTGGCTGGCCATATGTGGGTAACTAAACCCATGGGAAATACCTATGGGAAATACCTATGGGATGATTATTGGGATGATTATTGCTGGCTGGTGGTTTCAACCTACCCCGAAAAATGATGGAGTGAGTTCGTCAATTGGGATGACGAAATTCCCAACTGAATGGAACAAAAAACATGTTCCAAACCATCAACCAGCCATATGTTTGGCCAATATGTGGGGAGATTCCCTCAAAAATAGGCCTCAACTACTAGGTACCTCCAATCAATCGGAACTGCCAACTTCTGCGGGCCAAAATGAGGATCCCAACATTTGATTGAAAGCAGCCGTGCAAGTTGGCGGAACCCCAGAAGACTTTGGGAGATGATTTTCCTATTGATCATGGCCATTTTTGGGCTTCCGTGTCAACATGTAGGGGGTTATGACCGATTCAGCATCATTTAACTATCAGACATGCGAGATTTGGCTGGGATTTAAACGATCAAACATGAGACAACGGATGCGTTTTTCAAATCGAGATGAAACTATGCGTGTTCCTATCATAGTATTATAGGGAGCTCCGCTAAAGTTTCCCTTCAATCAATCTTTCTAAAAAAAGGAGCGAACAAAGTAGAAAGCTGGACACTTTGAACCACAGATTCTGTAAAAAATATCATGCGCACATTTCCCTTAAACATATTTGGTGTTCGACATTTTTCGTTTAGTGTTGGTTGTCTTGCCCGATGTGATCAGAGGACAAGGCCACCCCATGTGGATGATACCTGAAGTGGTTCATGTCCGCTTGTAACTTCTTTATTGGACTCTAGTTACCATCTGGTTTTTTAACATAGCCATGGGAAATCACCATTTTTAACAGGTAAACCCAGGTAAACCATCTATAAATGAATCATTTTCCATGGCTATGTTAAATAACCAGAGGGTAGTAGTAAAAAGAAACCGGTTGTAAGTGGTGTAGTGGTGTGCAGAAAAATGGTAAATTTAAGAATCTCAAATTTAGGTCACTGTAGATGACACCGTTACGAGACGGATGGACCCTACGATTGTCAGCTGATTTCACAAATTGTCCACCCGTTGGCGGGCCGTTAACAGGTCGTCTTGCTCCCACTATTTGGGGGCCTAAAATGGGAGACTGCAAAACCATTGGTTTGCCCATTAAAAGTCACCAATTTCTGGTGATTTCGTGGTCAGCCCATTTGCATGAATGATGCGTCAATGTGTTGTGCCCACTTGGATGTTCATCCCAGTTGGTAAGTGGGAAACGACCACAATCTAGTTTTATTAACAAATCTATGTTTATGGAACATCACCGTTAATTTATATGGTATAAATACGGGTTATCAGTCACTTGTGAACAGAGGTGCGCCGAAACTTAGTTACGCTCGCGCTTCGCGCACTGGCAATGACTTCGAAGCCAAAGGGCAGGTCCAACAGCTCGTCTGCCCGGTCCAAACCTGGCCAGATTCCAATCCCATACAGCATCCCCAACGCTACAATCATCGCAAAATGGTAGCCTGGTAGTTGTTTAATGTTGTTTCTGGCGGCTTACCACATTAATATGAAAGATATAAAAGGCCCAGTGGCATTTTCAGAGTTACAGTTGGATTTTCAGAAACCATGATTACAAATTGAGGTTGTTGATTTCCTTACGATTCAATTAGCCAGTGGTAAGAGGCCCATAGATTTTCAGACTTCATCAACTAATGGCTGATTGCCAACATTTTTTAGCGTGTTGCTTGACCCATCCTCCCATCAAGATCAAGGCCGAAACAGGAGCAATAACCAATCAGGATTGCATCCAGTGACTTGAATGGGACTCTCTGGCTCTGCATTTAAAAATGGTCAACCCCAAAATAAAGACAAAAACAGAAAATTGATTAGTTCATGATGCTTACAGTGATCCCAAACATGATATGGCCATTGAACATCTCCAGTCATAAATGATGTTCCCATGAAAAGAATTTCCAGAGAAGTAACTAAATGGGTTTTCAATTTATTGGTTTTCAATTATTGGCAGTGATGGTGGGTTACCTATGATGTTCCCATGCGTCACCAATAATTAAATGCTGTTCAATTGCCACGATTACCAACATTTTCCCAGTATTACCAGAGGGTATATTCCCATTCTATCCCCATGATATTCCTCTATATTTAATAACCCATTGGTACCTCACTTATGGTCGCCATGACCGGAAAACGGACCTCGCGATGGAGCCATGTCCATCCTGATTTCAGAGCAGCTTTTTCAAAACCATCCCTACCAGGACTATTTTCAACACCAAAACAATAATGGGTAGAAACTAATCCTAACTACAGTAGCGGCCCAGCACTTAGAATATGATTAAAAAAACACTTTTAAAATATTTTAAGTGGTAGTTGTAACTAATATCTTAGAATATAGCCAAATTCTAAGTCCTAGCACTTAAGCATCTCACTTACAATATAAAAGCTTGCACTTAGAATATGAAGTATGATATTTTGTGTTTTAAGATATTCTATAGTCTTTAAAAATTGGTTTTAACTGGAAAAACTCAGTTGAAACCTTGCACTTAAGAATATGAAAAAAACACTAACCTTAGTATAGTTTTTCTTTGGGGTTTCTGTGTTTTTCCTTGGTTTTCTTTGATTTTCAATGTTTTTGGCTAGGTTTTTACTGGTTTTCAATGTTTTTTCATTTATATTTATCAATTGTTTGATTAAGTTTATTAGTTTTTTCATTGGTAATCATAGTGTATAGTATAGTAAATAAAATGATTACATAATATATAACCACAGTAGTACTATAATGTAATATAACGTTATTTTACAATGCTAGTTTATAATGCTAGTGATTCAACGCCCGTCCAGCGCTCACATTCGTGGTTTTGTGACAGTTTCATGGTACAATAAGCAATTGCATGATGCACAGTACTGTAATTTAGCAGGGTGACAATGCATAGAACTAAGAAATCTAAATTATTTGATTATTGCATTGTATATTGTACTGTATATTGTTTGAATGATGATGATAACACACAGAAACATACAGTGTATTGTATTTATTACTGAATTGTAATATTTTTTCATGTACTGTACTGTATTGTAATACAGTAAAAACGATTAGCTGCAATGAATCATTGAAACACATTTTTACTATTAAATCTAGTCCAGAAGACACGTCAAACAACATTATCTCATAATATGAAGCATACACAGTATAGCAGAATAGCATACACTACGATACACAACATTAGCATCATACAAATCACACATGTTCAAATTCTGTGCTGATTGTGGATGTCTGGAGAAGACGGAAGACGTGGGGCAGCTCAGAATCGCATGGTGCTGTGATAGCACCTATGATGTTTGATGCTGTGATAGCATCAATAATGTATGGTGATGTGATAGCATCCATTATGTTTGGCGTTATGATAGCACCAAGTATGTATGGTGATGTGATAGCATCCATTATGTTTGGCGTTATGATAGCACCAAGTATGTATGGTGATGTGAAAGCATTCATTATGTTTTGTGATGTGATACAGTATGTAAATGTTTTGAAACACTGTACAATAGATCATTTTTTATATTTGGAGAGGGGGGCAGGTGGATACAAAAAACACAACAAGTTCATTTGTGAAAATAACATACAATACAATGTTGTACAATAGTACAGTAAGCCAAATAGCAGTACAAAACAATACAGTATACAGTAGTACATTACATTACTTCAACAGTTTTGTATTCATCCTATCAAATATGGTTGACAACATTATACTACTGTATTGTTCTTGAGGATTACAAAAATGATTGCATGCATTCAGTATTACAGTACAGAATTTTGTGAAAATATGCAATTGAGCTGACAGGCGTTGCAGCCAATGCCGCCATGCGTGTGGGCTCAGGTGATTGTGAACTTGTTTTTCACGTGCAATATTGTACGGTACTGTATACAATACAACAGTACAGTACATGTGTATTTTTTGCTTGCAACAAAAAACATTGCATTTAGAATATGAATACAATACATTACAATACAGTACACTACGTTGTTTAGCTATAAAAAATGGTGATTTTCCATAGTTTGACCATCCAGTCGATCGACCTAGTAATAACCAATCAACAACGGTATTTCGAACCGCGCATCCTTTTTTTTGAAGCAAGGTGCTTGGTCAAAATCACCGAGAGATTCACGCCTGAATCCACCAACCACTTGATGCCCTGCGGTTTTTTGCCGGCGGGAAGGATGTCGTGGAACCATCACCTGAAAATGGCTTAGACATGCTATTTGAATATAGAATATAGAATATCTGTGTCTAAGCATGACATATTGACTTAGACATATAGTTTAAAAATATGGCTAAAAATATGGCTTAGACATATCACTTGAATATCTCAGTCAAATGGGACTGGAAAAAAATATGGTTTATCATTGGCTGGTTGGTGGTATATGTTTTATGGAGTATCTTCTCTGTTCAAGCATCGTTCGGTCGTTGCAAGTACTTTCAATGGCCATTTCAGGATCCTAGATTGGAGGTACCTACCATATATAAGGCCTATATTTCAGGCCTATGTAAGGGAATATCCCCACAAAATATGGCCTTATATGGTACAGTACCTCCATTTAAGGATCCTGAAATTCCCATTGATACTTGGGATAACTGGGATAACTGTTGCCTTTCTCAGATCTCGAGAAAAGCTTCGGCCTGGTTTCAGAACTTTTTTCAGTACAGATTCTCGACTGCCAGTGTCTGGTTGGTGGTTTCAACCTACCCCTCTGAAAAATGATGGAGTGAAAGTCAGTTGGGATAATTATTCCCAACTGAATGGAAAGTCATAAAATTCCATGGTTCCAAACCAACAACCAGTTAAGTATATATATAAGCCACATCATATCTAACCAATTATTAGAATTCACCAAAACAAAGACCATAAAACCATATACCGTCTGGTAAACATACAAAAAACATCAAAAAAATATGGAAAATCACCATGCTATCAATGGCAAATCCACTATTTCTATGGCCATTTTCAATAGCAAACTGTTAATTAACGGCACGCGGAAAAACAAATCCAGGAAGAGCCAGCTGCCCGCTGGTAATCAAACATGGCAATTGGAAATCCACTGTAAATAGAGGCTTTAGTGGGAAAATCATGAACAATCATCTATAGATGAGGGATTTTGATTTGCCACGTTTGATTACCGGAGGGTATATCTGCTTACCAGACCCCCAGTTGTTGAAGCCGCGACTCACGGAATAACATGTGTTCCTGAACTTCGAATCTTCCGGACAACATCATAGTTCACATAGAAACACATGTGGTGATGCTGCAATTTGACCAAAGGAACTGTTGGCATAGTACTCATCTTCACATCTGGGTACGTCATGGTACGTCTGAAAATGATGCCTTCCAATGGTTATTTCATGCTATTTCTATGGGGCTTAACCTCTATTTTCAACATCTTTTCCCCATGTGACACGTGACACGTTGGCGGTTTCCCCCGTTGGGCGTTCATTGGGCGTGGTTGGAACACCTGGAGATCAAAGTTGCTGAAGCGCGCTGATCCGTCCACCAAGTAGAAGAGCTCCGCCAAGGTGCCTCGGTGCCGAGCGCAGAGGGCTCCGGGGCTCTGGAGGGCTCCGTGGCAAGCGCGGAGCGTTTTGGTTGGCTTCGGAGGTGCCTTTCAGAGGGAAATCAAGGGATAGATTCTGATAGATATGACGAAGTACTGTAGATTCTGATGTAGTGAGGGGGATGGAATCATGGTATGTTCTGGAAGATGATTTGTAGGATTGATATTAGCGTTGCAAATTAGCGTTGCAAAGTAGATTGGTGGAGACAATGATACACCGCCATGACACAGTCGATCTTCCCAAGACCCGTGATAGCCTCTGGTAATCCATGGAAAACTCCCCATTTCATACATTGCCAATCAGCCAGATAGCCTGCAAAAAATGACAAATTCTTTGCTGGTGAACGTAGATATTCCCATACCAAAAGACTAGTTAGGATTAATTTGTATCCATCTAGTCGATTGACCTAGTAATCAGTTATTAAAAAAACCAGTAACCATACCTCATTATATCCTCATTATATTCCCACATATAATCATTGCCAATCTTAGAAATAGTTGTTTACCCATAAAAAATGGTGAATCTTTCCATAGTTTGACCATCCAGTCGATTGACCTAGATTTACTTCGATCATTTTCCCAGCAGAAAGGGGGTGGTTCCCCAGCACCGAGGCACTACGGTGGCGCACATAAGCGGTGACGATCTTCGTCATCTGCTTCAACTCTCTGCCTGCACCTGGCAGAGCCTTGAGCCTTGAATCAGGGGAGATGCTATGAGTCAAAAGCCTCGTACCCGGATGGTACCCGGATAGTTGGTTTATTGATGTTTATTCCCCCAAAACATGGTAATACTATGGGTTCTGACCCATCCCCTAATATGATATGGCATATGTTGGCCCCCTGATGCAGATGGGTGGGTCAAAATGGAAGAGCTTAAAAATTAAACCACAGATGTGAATGTCTGGTTTAGTACCATCCAATTATTGGGGTACCTAATTTTGACCCATACCCATATGGCAACATGGTGTGTCTGAAAATAGGGATACCCAAGAAATGGCAGTGACGGGAAAATCAGGTGTTGTGCCTGGTGATCTCCTCCAATTCCAGTCATGGTACCCCCAGTCCAAGTCATGGATGACCAACCCATGGTGTTTTCCAACCCATGGTGACTTGGGAATCCCCAAAAAAATCATTGTTGGATACCCATCTGAGTCTCTCACCTTGAAAAACATGGCTTAAATTGTTGGTGAGTATACAACTGGCTTTTCGGTAGCAATATATTGCCAAAGGCAAAGTCATGACTACCCTCTGGTAAACTAACGCTTTGCGAACTGGAAAACCACCATGTTTGATAGGTAAATCAACTATAGATGGCCATTTTCAATAGCAAACTGTAACAGTCATTACCAGAGGGCCATCATATATCCTAATCAATCCCATTCAATCCCATTGAATCACCATTGAATCACCATTGAATGCCATTAAAACACCATTAAATCACCACTCCTAACCTCTCCAGATCGGGCCTTTGGCTCGACCCGTTCCCGGCAAATCTACCAAGTAAAAGCTGTTCTCACACCTGGAGTATTCTTCAGTCAGGGAAGAGATTCAAATGATTCAAGACAAGGGGAGAGGATTTATACTGGTTAATACATATGGTTAATATATATGGTTAATATAGGCATGGTGATATAATGGTGATCTGGTTGGTGGTTGACCTACCCCTCTGAAAAATAAAAACTATTCCAAACCACCAACCAGATATGGATTTTGATGATTTTGCATTGATTTCTTGGGGTGAGTTTCAAATACAACCTGAGTTGCTGCATTTTTAAAGGATCAAAAAGGCTCATTTGAAGATTCACAGGCTGAAAAAAGTGACCCTGAGTTGGAAAGGCTGAGGTACCCGTACATTTTCAGGATGATCATGGCACATCAGTTTCCTAGTTTCGACCATGCAAAATACCCCTTGTCCCTTCCCATGACATCCCTCTCTGGTTGGTGGTTTTAAGCAAAACCCCTCTGAAAAATGATGGACTTCGTCAATTGGAAGGAGGACATCCCATATATGAAATGGAAAAAACAAATAACATAATGTTCCAGTCACCACCAACCAGCTTAAATATAGGTCATCTTCTCCACTTAGTCTGACCCCCTTGAAATTTTGGCGATTTTCAGGTTGGGCCAAGATGCAGGAAGTGATGGATCAGCTTGGTGTGGCCCGGATGCTTCGAGATCGTGGAGAGCTTCCTTCGATTGCACCTGCCAAAAAAAAACCGGTTGCGGTTGTGACCGCCTCGAAAGCTCGAAGACTGTTGAGGATTTATATGGTTTTTATGTGGTTTTTATATTGTTTTTATATGGTTTTTATATGGTTTTTATATGGTTTTTATATTTTCTTTATATGCTTTTTATATGGTTTTTATATGGTTTTTATATTTTTTTATATGGTTTTTATATGGTGTTTATATTGTGTGTATATGGTTTTTATATGGTTTTTATATGCTTTTTATATGGTTTCTGTATGGTTTTTATATGGTTTTTATATGCTTTTTATATGGTTTTTATATGCTTTTTATATGGTTTTTATATGGTTTTTATATTTTTTTATATGGTTTTTATGTGGTTTTTATATTGTTTTTATATTGTTTTTATATGGTTTTTATATGGTTTTTATATGGTTTTTATATGGTTTTTATATTTTCTTTATATGGTTTTTATATGGTTTTTATATTTTCTTTATATGCTTTTTATATGGTTTTTATATGGTTTTTATATTTTTTTATATGGTTTTTATATGGTGTTTATATTGTGTGTATATGGTTTTTATATGGTTTTTATATGGTTTTTATATGGTTTCTGTATGGTTTTTATATGGTTTTTATATGCTTTTTATATGGTTTTTATATGCTTTTTATATGGTTTTTATATGGTTTTTATATTTTTTTATATGGTTTTTATGTGGTTTTTATATTGTTTTTATATTGTTTTTATATGGTTTTTATATGGTTTTTATATGGTTTTTATATGGTTTTTATATTTTCTTTATATGCTTTTTATATGGTTTTTATATGGTTTTTATATTTTTTTATATGGTTTTTATATGGTGTTTATATTGTGTGTATATGCTTTTTATATGGTTTTTATATGCTTTTTATATGGTTTCTGTATGGTTTTTATATGGTTTTTATATGGTTTTTATATGCTTTTTATATGGTTTTTATATGGTTTTTATATGCTTTTTATATGGTTTTTATATGGTTTTTATATTTTTTTATATGGTTTTTATATGGTTTTTATATGGTTTTTATATGGTTTTTATATTTTTTTATGGTTTTTATATGTTTTTTATATGTTTTTTTTATATGGTTTTTATATGGTTTTTATATGGTTTTTATATGGTTTTTATATGCTTTTTACATGGTTTTTATATGCTTTTTATATGGTTTTTATATGGTTTTTATATGGTTTTTATATGGTTTTTATATGGTTTTTATATGGTTTTTATATGGTTTTTATATGGGTTTTATATTTTTTTATGGTTTTTATATGGTTTTTATATGGTTTTTATATGGTTTTTATATTTTTTTATATGGTTTTTATATGGTTTTTACATGGTTTTTATATGGTTTTTATATGGTTTTTATATGCTTTTTACATGGTTTTTATATGGTTTTTATATGGTGTTTATATGGTTTTTATATGGTTTTTATATGGTTTTTATATGGTTTTTATATGGTTTTTATATTTTCTTTATATGCTTTTTATATGGTTTTTATATGGTTTTTATATGGTTTTTATATGTATTTATATGGTTTTTATATGGTGTTTATATGGTTTTATATGTTTTTTTTTCTGGTTTTTATATTGTTTTTATATGGTTTTTATATGCTTTTTATATGGTTTTTATATGGTTTTTATATTTTTTTATATGGTTTTTATATGGTTTATATATATAGAGGTTTCCATAAATGGGAGTACCCTTAACGGCTCGCTGGATGGTTGATTTCATGGACAGTCCGAAAAATAACATGGATGATGACTGGGGGTACCCGCATTGATGGTTTCATCGTCCTTACCACCCTCTAAGTGAGGGGAGCACATGGAAAACAGTTTCTACCCTCTGGTAAACATACAAAAAACTATGGAAAATCACCATTTTTAATGGGAAAACTCACTATAAATGATTATTTTCAATAGCTATGTTGAATTACCAGAGGGTACCTGGGTCTTAGGGACTATCGGATTATCATGGATGATCCATCTTCCTGGCTCGTTGACAGAGGTTCCCACAATGGATCAGAGTAATCCCCAATGTAGCTGGCTAGAAAAAAACCTTTGCAATCATCTACCAACAGTATCCAACTTTATCCAACCTTTTTGGGGCATCCATTTGGGGCCATTTTAGGGGCAACGGCAAGGCCCAGAAATTTGTTCGAAAAGCCCATCCCGAATCCGACCCGGCCCATCCCGCGAGCACAGGAAGTTCAACATGGAGCTCTTTCCCACGTTGGATTGACCGAAAAAGGCAAACTCCGGTTTCCGCAGATCTTCCACAGGACATTGACCTCGTCGTAAAAGGTCAAGGGGAAAAAACACCACGATTTTTTGTCTAAAAGTGACGCTTGTGAATTGTTGGTGTAAGATTTTTCAGATATTTCAAATATCTTGCCATAGGAGTGTTTCCTTGTGATAAATTCCTGAAGTTTTTTCTGAGAAGAGATCATAGATCTGGATGCCGTTGGCCTTTTCACGCAGGTTTTATCGTTCAGCAACTATGACTACCCATCGGATCCATGTATGGTATATAATATATGGTAACATTTACCATCAATATACCCCCTTTATGTTAGCATATATACCAGCACCATGGATCCTATGGGCTATGAACATCGATAGGTTTTTTTCCAAGTCAAGAAGGAATCGAACAACCGAAGAAGTCATAGATTGTGTCACCCACAACTGGTGGAGCAATGGAGATCCAATGGATAGCGGATAGCAACAAAAAAAGGTGTTACATGGGCAATAAGCAAAAGGACCCTTATTATCACATGCTATATGGCTATGGATCAATACCTATACATACCATTTTTAGGGGGATGAACATCCATTTACCAGCTATTTTGATGTTCACCAGGGGGATAGGGTTTTGACACACTGCCATATGGGCAAAATGCTTGACCAATAAAAGTGCATTCGTCGATTGGTTTGATACAACGATCTCGTACTTTTGAACCGGTAGGAACATGTAGGAACATAGCAAAGTCCATCTCATCCCTACCAAACATTCTGTTGCCCACGAAGCAACTGTAGAAGAAGGATCGCTGTGCTTCACCAATTCCTTGGAGGTTCGCGCTTCAAAACTTCCAACTGAATGGTGGCGTCAACCGGGATCATTCCAGGTAAAGAAGAAAGGATTCGACCCACCAACTGGAACAGTTTAACATATCCCTGAAGAAGTGTTCTTTTTCTCCATGATCTCCATTTTGGGGCTCTATGATTTCAACATATTTCAACAACAACGGGGCTCTTAGTCGAACAAACGAAGACATATGAACCAATAGCTATTGAGCAGCAGTCCCATACGGATTCTTCCCTTTGTAAAAGGGGCCCAATCATCAAAAAACCTGGAAGAACAAGTAACTGAACTGTCCGTAACACGTGTGAAACCACCAGTCTTGATGAGCTCCATGATCCCTTGTTGCTGCTTTGAACCGGGCCTGTTTTTCTATCGCCTAAACATCGTCAGCGCAAACCGCTCAAGGGATACCTAAAAACAGAGAAAGAAACCATCGTTCAACAAGTTTTCGATCCACTTTTGTTAACCATTAGATAGCCACTGGTAATCAACTAGCCATTAATTAACCACCATTAATAATCATTAACCATTATTAGTAACCATATATAACCACTAATAACCATAGTTATGACATTGTTTTACCCAACAATAATGTCCTTTTGGTAAAAATAGGTTTGGGCCGGGAGCTGGTTAATCCCATCTATCATCATAGAAACCTGTTAAAGGGGTAAACCTTCAACCCCCTCTATGAAAATCAACCAACCAATGGGAAAAGGACATCTATGGTTTTACCCAGATTCATCATTATTGTAAACCATCAACTAGCCATGAAAACAACCATTAATAACCATTAACCATTCTTAGTAACCATATATAACCATAGTTATTGGAGTTTTAAGCACCCACTTTCGGGCTGATGGGTCACCCCCTTTTTAATGGGCCCGAGCTTAGAGATTCCACCATCCCTTGATCGGTTTCATCTCCATCAAAAATCCCCTTTTTTTCACTGTCAAAATCTCGATTTTTGGGTACCTTTGTTTGGGTGTCAAATATGATTATCTATGATATTACAGTATCTATAGATATTATCTATAGATATTCTCTATAGATATTCTCTATTCTTGACCCACTTACCCTCTGGTAAACTAACATAGCTATTGAAAATGGCCATTTATAGTGAGTTTTCCCATTAAAAATGGTGATTTTCCATAGTTATGTTAGTTTACCAGAGGGTAAATGGATGAAACATCAGATCTACCACTGGGCCCTCCTTAGGCCCTCCAAGCTTCGATAAATCTCCGGGCGAATCTCGGACTTCACGGCAGAGAGGGGCACCTGGGTCACCTGCAGGGTGTGCCGTGGTCAAGTTACAGGAGATCCATAGATTCCATACAATGTGGGGCCCCCAAGATAGCTAAGTTGGTTTAGAACTCCAATGTCACTATGGTTTATGGTACTTATAACTATAGTTATGGGGGTTTATAAACCAACGTTCACATCACTGGGGGGCCCCACATTGTAGATTATCCATAGATTATGCATAAGTCCCATAATCTATGGATAATCTATGGATATGACTGATTGGTGGTTTTTTCCTACCCCTCTGAATATTAAATATGAGTGAGTGAACGTCAGTTGGGATGATGAAATTCCCAACTGTTTCTGGAAATTCATAAAACATGTTCCAAACCACCAAACAGTATTAATATATCAATGGGAATTTCAGGATCCTAAAATGGAGGTACGTTAGTAGCATATGTCTGGCCATATTTTGTGGGATATTCCCTAAACAATAGGCCTAAAACATAGGCCTAAAATATACGGTGGGTACCTCCAATCAATCGTTTCCTGAAACGGCCATTTTGTTTATATGGGGAATATGAAACTGATAAAACTGATAAAACTGAACATGTTGAAACCGACAATCAATGGATTGGTTTAAGGGAAAATCGAAACCGGAAACCATGGTTTTTACCACCAAATATAGGGTTTTCCGGTTTCAATTTTCCCTTGGCCGCCAATTCTACAATGATCAACGGATATTTCATATTTACACTCTGGTTATTTAACATAGCCATGGAAAATCACCATTTTTAATAGGTAAACCCAGGTAAACCATCTATAAATGGTCCATTTTCCATGGCTATGTTAAATAACCAGAGGGTATCATTTCAGATATTGGGGATGTGATCTATCCCATTAAGGACGACTGAGCCAAGTCAAAACTCCGAGGTCGCAGTCTGATGTTCGTGGTTTCGACGAAAAATCTTCGTCGGGGATAAACATATTTTAACTATGTGAGGACCCCCAGTGATGTTAGTTGGTTTATAAACCCCCATAACTATAGTTGTAAGTACCATAAACCATAGTTATTGGAGTTATAAACCAACTTGGCTATCTTGGGGGCCCACATTGTAACTATGGTTGAACACAGCAAATACATAAATACACCAATCAGCTAGTGCTTAAGATGGGTGAAAAATACCCGTATCCCCAATGATTTTTTGCTCAAAAATTGGATGGTGAAGTCCACATCAACGGGTGTAGTGCTTATCACCCAGCCTTGTACCAGCAGCTAAACCGCAGGTGAGGAAACCGCAGCCCAAGTAGAAATCATCCCCAAGTTGACCATCGATGGGTTGGTACAAAATGGTATTAACATATCTATATTCTATATGGTTAATATATGGTTATTGATGGTTAATAATCATCTGGTTGGTGGTTTTAACCATCTTGAAAAATATGAGTTCGTCAATGGGAAGGATGCCATTCCATATATGAAATGGAAAAACAACATCATGTTTGACCCCACCAACCAGTATTAACATATTATCTACAAACTTATAAACCATCCTCAAAACTCAAAAAATATCCACTTAAATGGAAAAACAGCTTCATGATTGATTTATCACTTATTTATAGATATTTATACTGGTTGGTGGTTGAGCCACCCCTCTGAAAAATATGAGTTTGTCAGTTGGGATCATTATTCACAATATATGGAAAACAATGTTCGAAACCACCAACCAGTATAGATATTTATAGGACAAATTCCCAATTTTTCACCATCAACCACTTTTTGACACGGTTTCACCGAGCAAAAAACTCGAACGCATCACCCTGCGCCTGTCTATCTCGACGCTGTTGTCGTTGTCTGCGGGTGCAGAGCAGAAAACTCACAGTGCCTCAGGATTTCATCAGCTGAGATTGTTGGTTGCACCAAATTTTGAGATGTTTAACGATCCAAACATATTCAAGTGGACTAAGATAGCTAACTAAGCCAGCATGATTTATGATCTATTAAAATGTTATTCTAATTTCATTTATGAGTTATATATAGTTTTATAACTAAAGCAACAAACTTCCACGGCCAGTGGGATATCCCAAGCATGTTTGATGACCGGACCTTACCAGGATGCTGGTTGGCTCCAACTGATGGACGCTGGTTGCTGGTTTTGAGCAAAACCCCTTTGAAAAATGATGGAGTGAGTTCGTCAGTTGTTTTTTTTTCATAAAGTGGGAATCTATATTTTCTATTCAGTTGGGAATCTATTTTCTCAGTGAAAAATATGAGTGGGTGATGAAATTCCCAATATATGGAAAGTCATAAAATTCCATATGTTAACCATGTATTTCCATATATTAACCATATATTTATGATTAACCATTATTAACAAACCACCAACTGAATGGGAAAAAAAGGTTCCTTAAACCACCAATCAGATAGCATCATCCAGCCACGAGCCCGGCTGAAACCGTCCGACTCTTTCCCAAACTGCTGAATTCTTGGAAAACAATAGAACTATGTTGCCATATCATTGCCAATCAGCCAGATACCCTGCAAAAAATGACAAATTCTTTGCTGGTTAGTAGATAATCCCATTGATACCAAGAGACTAAAGGATTAAAGTACCCATCTAAGACTGACCTAGATATTCACACACATACCCATTACCATTTATCCCTGGGCCCCATGCCATATGACTCATATCACCTTCCCCATGCCTGCCACACTGCCGGCCACTGCTCTGCCAGAATCAAAAGCTGATGCACCTGTGACCTGTTGGGCCGACAACATGCAGGGTATGGATTCAGAAAGGGCTTGGTGATAGGAAACATGACTAAATCAAAGCTTTTGTAAAAATGGATATGGATTTAACCCAGTATGATAGGAAATGCATATGGATATGGATTCAGAATGACCAAACTTCTTTGACCCTGGGTCTTCCAAAATTCCAAAACAACACCTGTGTCTTAGTGGCAACGCCATGTTTTTCCAGATATTTGTTGCGCCACCTCCTCCTGTGTTGCTTCCTGTGGATTGAACATGACAGCAGGTAGCTGGGTAAGTCCTGGCCATGTTTCACTAACCTGAAAATCAAGGCCATCTGGGGATGATTTTACCCGGAGGTATCCTCACTAATTCTGTTTCCAGTTAGGTGAGATTCCATTGCTTTCATTAAAACATTGCCAATCAGCGAGCAGCTAGATACCCTGCATTTTTTTTTTAGCTGGTTAGTAGAAATTCCCATTGATACCAAAAGACTAAAGGATCAAAGTACCCATCCAAGATTGACCTAGTCCCTAGTAGATCCTTGCAAAAAAAAACATGCGGAAACCCCTATATTTCATGGTAAAAACTATGGTTTTTTGTTTCGATTTTCCCTTCCACCCCATTAAAACACAAATTTTCCCCCACCCCACAGCCCCATCTTTTTCGCCGCCTGCCGTGTCACAGCCACAGCCACAGGCTGCGCCGTAGGCAGCGCCGGTGGTACCAGCAATGCCGCCATGGTGGTGGTTTCAACCCCTCTGAAAAATATGAAAGTCAGTTGGGATGATTATTCCCAATATATGGAAAAATAAAACGTGTTCCAAACCACCAACCAGTATATATATATATATGTATATATATATAATGTATGTCTTATGTATACATATATATATATACGTGTATATATATATATAATGGCCTATGCTGATACAAAGGTTGCTGTTCCGATTTTTTTCCGGTGAAATTTGGTGTTTTGTTTTGTTCGCTGATACGATCTGTTTGGAATGCATGATCCTCTTGGGTTAGCAAAGATGGGACAGTTCAAGCTTGTGGATCCTTAAGACCATGCGATTGTTGAAAAGACCTACCTGGTCAGGATTGGCGAAATGACCTGCTTGGTGGTTGAGTTTCAAGCCCTCTGAAAAATATGAAAGTCAGTTGGGATGATGAAATTCCCAACTGAATGGAAAAATAAAATTCATGTTCCAAACCACCAACCAGTGACCATCTGTGAATCTGAAGGCGTGTCTCATGCAGGTCCTACGATCTAGGTGGTCTTACCCTCACTTTGATGTTTGGATGGCGAAAAATCGTCGCTCAATCGGCCCATCATGACTTGAAGCTTGGCAAGCAGCGCTGCAATGGAAAGTGGAAAACATACTTTGCCGTTCACAGCCGTGCTAGTAATGTGCCTTGGCACTACAAAAGAGCTGGATCGGTGAAGTTGCAATTGTATACAGCTCAATGGTGAAACTTCTTGGATGTGTTTGTCACCAAGCTGAGCATTTGCAAGGTTTCCAACCAATCCCCTTCTCAGTCTTGGGAGGGCAAGCCAATTGAAATGTCTTGAAATAAATAAATAAATACATAAATGTTTATATTGTATATATATATATGTATACATATATATATATATATAAAGCGAGAGCACTCCCAAAAAGAGATACCATTAATTTCAGACTAAAATGGATCTTTAAAATGACAAATTACTGTTCATTACTTTTCACACCCTTTTGGTTTGCTAAAGATGTGATATAAAAAATCATACTATCTATATATATATATATCATCAAATATACCATCACATATCACTTATCACATATTATTATATATCATATTATCATTGCTAATATTACTATCTGGTTGGTGGTTTCAACCCCTCTGAAAAATATTAGTCAAATGGGCTTATTGTTCCCATATATTTTGGAAAAATGAAATTCATGTTCGAAACCACCAACCAATATTATTACTAATATTACTATTGTATAATAATAGGATATATGTAGATACAATATTGTTAAGATCCGTGTTACTATTCATAATAATAGTTACGTATATTATTATAGTTAATATTAATAGTAGATGATTATAATATCCAATTATTATCAATATTACTATTGTATATACATTATATCTGGGTAAAGTACAATAATTCACTAACCTGAAATAAGGCTTCTCTGGGATAATTCCGATTACTAACCATAATTCCAGTGAGGTCGCAGTGAGGTCCTTATAATTTACCCAGAATAATGAACCATACCATTACCAACCATATATATTAACCATGTATTTCCATATATTGATCATATATTTATGATTAACCACTATATTACTATTGTATATACATTATATTTATATGAAGATCCACGTTCCCGTTGCAATCACCCTGGAGGCGATAGAGGGGCCGTCGGAAGTACTTCAGGAGCACATCGCAGGCGGCGGCTGGCAGCCAATCTTCGTCCTATCCGAAACTCGGCGTTTCGGTGGTTTTAAGAGAATCCCGCCATTTGATAGGAAAATGATGGGAGACTGATGGGAAAATGATGGGAAAATGGAGAAATCAAAGGAAAATGATGGGAAAAGTAATGGGAACATGGAGAATTCATAAGAAAATGATGCAACATTCATGTAACCAACCATAGATTAGATATATCATGGAATATTATGGAAATACTGCGGATGGCTACGAAATTCTGCACCACCAAAAGGATGAAGAAAAACCCTATAGATAATGGGATAAACCACCTATCAACTGGTGCAGGATTTTTTAAGCATCCACTGTAGGAAAGTGATGAGAAAATGATGAGACAAATGATGTTTCAGGACCTTCCATTGACCCACATTTTCATAGAAATGTAAATCATGGCAAAGAATGATGAGACATCAAATGGAAGATGGTTGTAGTTGCGAAATAAAACATGAAAGTCGATGAAACTAAACTTAAATGTTTAAATGAATTCAGGCATGCGCTCCTTTTCTAGATGGACACTTATTGAAACTCAAAACCTTATGTTACAATTTTGGAAAATCCACTATAATCAGCGGCAAATTGGTTGAATGATGTTGAATGGAAAATGCATCAACTCATTCCAAGACAATGCAGTGTGAGGCAATTCTTCCTGATTGAAAGGACAGTAAACAGATGTCCGATTCTTTCGCGTCTTCCTGATATTTCCTGATCCTGATGCGGCAAGCTTCTTAGATAGCAATTTTCGCCATTTCGAGTTATCACTCAGAAAAATCCCCAGGTATTTTCGCCAGTTTTACTCGCCCAAAAAACCCCAGGAAAGAACCATGAAATTCTGATCGACTTGACAGAAACATCCAATTTCCCATTTTATGAACATTTTTGGAACATCAACTTCTTGATTCAGGAATATCACCCATCAATACAGGATGCCCCCCCCGGTTGTAAGTTGGTTTATAAACCGATATAACCACCAGTAACTAGTTCGTTATATCTACCATAAACATCCATAAACCATAGAATTCAGCCACTTATAAAGCAACGGTTCACGCTATCCTGGCCGGGGGCCGTCGTAAATTTTTATCGTGATATTTGGTTGCCAACACTTTGGGATGACGAAATCCAGGTATCTGTTCCTTGCGGCCTTTACACATTATCCAAAAGGGTAGACAAGGGATTTACCATTATTTCAAAAATCACGTTCATCACATGACTATAAAATCCCATTAGATCCCATTCAATCCTATTATTTCAATAGGTTTTTACTTCCCTATTTTTTGCAAGTTTGCTATAGCTTAGAACTCTCCCAGTTGGGCCCACCGCAAGCGATTCACGATGCGCAAGCGATTCACGGCCCAACCTTCTCCAGGACCTTCATTTCGGACCTCAATGGCACAGGCAATATGCTACTTCGTTGCTTACTTGAACTGGAGCTGTATATGATGCAACAACTAGTAATACATATTCATTATACCATAGTTATGATTGTATATAGTTGTATATAGATATATATCTGCATACTACATATGATATTATACTTTTACCAAAGCACAGTAAAAAAATGATCTATCTCTCTCCATTATATCTCTCAATTAATACAGTACTTTGGTAGAACTATCAATGAACTATCTACTTAAGTGTAAAAGCGAGACAGCGCTTTCTGGAGGGGATTTTGCCATGGAATCCATGGGGTCGTGATGGATCTTCTCTCTAAAAATCATGGAATCCAAAGGCTTCGCACACGAATGGATCAGGTCGTATTTTTCTTTTTCTGCTTGGTTGTACCCTCTGGCTATGTCAAAATAACTATTGAAAATGGCCCAGTCGAAATAGTGGAATTTACCCATGAAAAATGGTGGATCTTTCCATAGTTATGTTAGTTTACCAGAGGGTAGGATCTCATTCCGCTTGGTATTTTGTGGTATCAAACATACGTGTGCCACGTGTGCCGTGGTCGGTATGGTGGATGATGGGTGAGCCAGCGAAAAAAAAGTCGTTTGAAAACCAGTTTTTCTTAAACGCTGGGGACCACATCCCAGATGGTAAACATCCCATGATTTATAGGGCTATAACTCCAATAACTATGGTTTATAGGTGATATAATGTGATAATATGTGATATATCTATAGTTCATGGGGGTTATAAACCTATTTTCTTTGGGTTTCGCATCCAGAATGGGTTTATCGGATTTCGCTGGCCGGCCCATGGGATATCCCATAGAAGTCCTACATAACTCCCCCCACGGAATGATGATCGAGTCTTTTTCAGAGGGGAAAGGGGTACCCTCTGGTTGTTTAACATAGCTATAAAACGGTCCATAGAAATAGATGGTTTACCTGGGTTTACCTATTAAAAATGGTGGATCTTTCCATGGCGAACTGTTAAATAACCAGAGTGTAAATCTGATTATTTATGATTTATGATTTGCAATTATATTGATTTATGATTTATGATTTTATGGTTTATGATTTATGATTAATTTGTGATGATTTACACTTTACCTGTTGGTAATTTTCCATGGCTACGTTGAATAACCAGAGGATAATCCATCTTTTGACCGTGGCACCTATTTTATTCTGGGCTGCAGATTCTCCCAAAACACCTCTGGACCGTCGCCAATCAGGCGCCCCTGCGTCCAATCTGAGGTTGGTTGAGACAATAGATAGTCCCATTCAAGTTCCAGCTATCCTTCTAACATCTTCAAACTATCAACATTTTCCAATATCTCACATGCCTATAAGAAAAATCCAACTCTAATGCATGGGAATGGGTGGGAATGGGGTGTAATCTCTATCATCCTTCACTAATCTGAGCTCCTTCGTTCCTCAAACTGAGCGGATCCGACTCCATGCCCTTGCACATGTCCACGTACTTCTTTGGAGCTGAGGCGGAAGGACTGCAAGTGCCTTGGCGCTGGGAAAATCATGATCTTGAAATGAACATAGCATATGTAATGAAACCACCAATCAGTCATTGCCACATTGCCTTATTCTTGCTTTGTAGCATTCAGTACTACACTACTCCCACTTTTTGTTTGCTCATCCACATCTTTGTAGGTCAAACATTTGAATCCACCAGTTTTCGCCAATGCCCTGCTACCATGGCATGACCATGCTTCTCACTACATGCTGGGCTTCCACTAGCCAAAAAAAAATCAAAAAAAACCATTCAAATCCGTGTTCAAAGTAAGGGCCACTCCAACCGGCAAGTTTTTTTGAATGGACCATGAAAATCACTTAAAATCACCAGCTGTCGGCCAGGCAACTCATGAAGAGCTTCGTCAGCTCCTTCCCCCGGATCTCTTGATGCTTGGCCCACTGTGCAAAGTCTAGGCACTGGGACAGCTGATCCGGTTGACCTGGTTCCGTCGGTGAAATATGGTGAGCGGCTGAGCCGAATCCTGGGTCAAATTTTCAATGGGAATACCCAAAGGGTAACGTTTTGCTATGGAACATCACCATTTTTAATAGGCAAATCAATCTAAATCATCTATAAATGGGGATTTTCAGTAGCAAAGTGTGAATGTTTACCCGGTTACCCAAAGGTATATAGACTGATTTTCGACTTTTTGTGACATCAGTTTTTGAGGGATGGGCTCTTGGCAAAGTTTCACCAGGCTTGCACCAGTGACCTCCTGACCTCTGTGGCTCATCCACATATAAATGGGGTAGAACTGTATAACTATCCTTACTACAATGTGAGGCCCCCCAGTGATGTGAATGTTGGTTTAGATTCGCCCCAGTAACTATAGTTATTTGCGTACCATAAACCATAGTGAAATTGGAGTTATTTGCACCAACTTAGCTATCTTGGGGGCCTCACATTGTATATAACCAGTTTTTTTAGCAGTTAAATCACCAGTTTTTAATTAGCCCATGAAATCACCAGTTAAATCACCTTGTCTATGGCTTACCCTCTGGTTATGACTAACAGTTCGCCATGGTATAGATGGCCCTAATCGAAATAGATGGTTTACCTGGGTTTACTTATTAAACATATTTTAAAATGGTGATTTTCCATGGCTATGTTAGCCATAGTTAGCCATAACCAGATGGTAAATGCTATAGAATCACCTTGTTTTTTGGGGATGGGATGATTCTCCAGTTGCCAGGGTCCCAGTGCTCCCAGGTCCACCAGCTCCGTCGTCGCACCTGCAGTGGATTTGGTCGCCAGCATCAAGGGACGACGCGTTTTTTTGGGGCTCACCGGCACCGGCACCTGCGGCACCTGCGGTGCCGAGATGGCATAGATCCCAGCAAAAAAAAAACCGGTCAATCTTTGATCGTCCGGGAAAAAGGTGCACAACAAATATCTGGTTGGTGGTGCAATAACCATCTTGAAAAATATGTAAGTCAATGGGAAGGATGACATCCCATATATGAAATGGAAAATAAAAGTCATGTTCCAAACCACCAACCAGATATGGTCATCTTTCGCTGGCTGGTTATGGTTATTGTTCTTTTCCATTGCTTAAAACACTGAAGGATTGAACTGATTGAACTAGCTCAAAAAATGCGGGATGCATTGGCCATTGTTTATTTACCAAGCAAAAAACACAAACATTGGTCTGCATAGAAAAATAGCCATTGAAATAGTGAATTTACCTATTAAAAATGGTGATTTCGTGGGATTTAATGGGATTTATTAGGATATATGATGGGATTAAGCCTCTGGTAATGACTGTTACATATAGCTATTGAACATGGCCCAGTCGAAATAGTTGATTTACCCAGCTACATAGCATGGTGATTTTCCGCAGCTATGTTGCTGTTTACCAGGCCGGGTACCACTCATGAAAAGAGTACCTGCCATATTTTCTCGGGACGCCGAGATGGGGGAGAGATCATGAGATCATGGTATCATGGTCGAGTCATGAGTCATTGATCAAGATCTCAAACTGCTACTGGCAAAGCCTACACTTTTCAAATGACTGGCATCCCAAATGCAAGACTATCAGTGACTATCAGTGACTGTCAGTGACCATCAGTTGCAAGTGTACTGTGAATGTCAATAAAATGCACAATGCCGTTTAGAACTCCTGAGAATATATAAGGGTACTGCTGTTTGGGTGACAAGTCACTGGCAATCAGCTATACGTATTGTTGGGGCAATACATCCTTAGTACTATGGAAATAAATCCATTTGCATTCTAGTACCATGTGCAGAACATGTTCCCAAGAAGATCGGTTTATAAATTATCACGGAAATAGTGAGGAGTCACTTCTCCATCTATTGGGGACTTACACAAAAATACCATGACTATGACTAATCTCAGTTCACTCATCCAAAAAGTACTGGGCCAGAATTCCTCCATGAATAACGGGATTTTCCCCATATGTTTGGTATATGTTATTACATGTTCCTAATGATGTTCCCGTTGTTTATACAGGATTTCCGAGCGGCCCGAGCCCTTACCTATTCCAATGATGGTACCTATTCCAACCAACTTCGCCCTACCCGGTGCGACCTCTTTGGACTCCAACAGAGCTGACAGAACTGGCGGGGTGAAACCAAGCTCGGGAATTTTCAGAATTTTCCATATATCATATTTTATCATAGTATATCCCGCTAGAAAATGATTGTATGATATTGTATGGGATGTGGATGGTGTGGAGATATACAACCATATATACATCCAAGAACCATATATCAGTGGAAGAATTGTCCAACCTTTTTGAAGTGGCTTTGGTTGAAGTAGGAACCAGGGAGAACATCATTGTCCAAGAAACAATGGACAAAGTTCCACCAAGATACAGAGAAGTGAACAAGTAAACAGAACATGAAAAGGAACAACATCAGAATATCATATACCCTCTGGTAAATTAACATAGACCCTAAAAATAACCAATGTTTAGTGGAAACTAATCTTCCAACCCCTATCTACCAGGGTCTGTTAATTTACTGGAGGGTACAAGTATCTACAATATTATACAAGTATCTCTCACACTTAGTGCTAACAAGCCAAGAATCAGAACCTCAGACACCTTAGACAACCAGACATGACTGGTGCTTCCTCCCAACCAACTTTGATGTGGAAACTGACCACACTGGGACAGCGTTAGGATCGTCAGGTTTGGCCCCCCCGACATCAGGCTTTAGTCATGCATCCGCATGTTGAGGCTGACCCAACACTGGTGGAATACAAGAGTATACGACATGTGTAATATCATAGCATCTTACCCTATCATACTGTGGATGGGCCAGTGAAATCCTGCATCACCAATTTTGGATGGTTGAAACCCAAACAAAAACTCATGGGATGTTTACCACCTATCAACTGGTGCAGGATTTTTTTACAACCATCCACCGTATCATAAGGAATTTTGAGGTACCTTATGTTTCAGACAAACCCAAAAAGTTCCACTAAAAGAAGTGGCTGTGGAAACATAGGGGGAACATCTCCCAACTTATCGGGGTGAACGTACCATAATTGTAGCGATAAAAACAAACAGCTAGCCATATATCATATTGTTTGTCTGGTTGGTGGTATACCTACCCCTCTGAAAAATATGAGTTCGTCAGTTGGGATCATGAAATTCCCAACTGAATGGAAAGTCATAAAATTCCATGGTTCCAGTCACCACCAACCAGTACAATAGTCCCCTTGTATTCCTTTTATATATCCCCATTACATCCCTGAAAATCCCTGGAGATCCACGTTTTCAACCGGCTCTGCCACAATGTCTGCTGCTCCACCTGTTTCAGCTCCACCGGCGCTGTCCGTCACGTCGTACTCCTCTGCTGGCTTCGAAGATGAATGCCTAGCTGGCGTCAAGCCGAAGCACCGAAGCACTGGTGACGATGGTGACAAAAAAACATCATTTTTTCGATGGAGATGTTGGGATAATTCACCATCAACACTAGGGAGTGAATTGAGATGACCATTGAATCATGGATTTTTGTTGGATATGTTGGAAATGAATGGCGATATGACGAGATAAGCAACATAACATGATTTTTTAGGGGATAACTAACCATACTAGGCGTTTGTTACATCTCCACATGTGCCATGGTCGAGTTACATTATATATATACACATATGCGCTATGATCATCCTGCCATAAAAAGATGTTCCTTATAGGGTATACAAATCCCTTTTGATGCATTGATGACAATCCGCCATATTCATTCATGTTCATTCATATTCATCCATATTCATCCATCTTTAATATTCCATAATCAATGATGGTGTTCTCATCGTTGCCAGCATGGAATCAGCGAATTCTGTGAATATCAAGGATTCCATTGTGGGCAATTCCATATAATGTACAGGGGCAAAAATACCATATCGTAACGTAGTTGGGTACTTCTGGGTATTTCGAATATCATCATTCTCAGGGTCCAAGCATTCCCACTGGGCAAATATGGGTGTATGATATGGTGTACTGGTATCCGTCGTCATTGCATCATGATCCAAGCATGCTAGATTCCATATAATTGTGGACTTCTAACACTTTCATCTAAACTTAGCATACCTAATTTTATAATGTGGGTCTTTAAAATCTTCACAATACCGAGCTTGTATCATTAGCCTCATCTAGGAGGGTGGAAAGTCAACAAGATTGAAAACCACCAACTATTCACTTTCCAACAACACATCTCTATACGTTCTGTTGGTTGAATATCTCAATGGATTGGTTTTGTTGGAAAAATCGAAGCCGGAAACCATCGATTTTCATCGATTTTCCATGATTTTCCCATTCAACCAATCCCCTGGGACCTCGTCACCTCCATCGCAGGTTGCTGCAACGCCACCAGCCCCTCCAGCCGCCCGTGCGGGCTCTGTTGCGGCTGCACAGCGTTGCGGCGTTGCTCCTGTGAGGTCAAAACGTGCCCCAAGTTGACTAGAATGGTGTAATGTAGGGATCATGTGGGTTACCGTAACAATAGTTAACATGGGATAATCATGGGAGAATAATGGGATAACTATAAACTTTATAAGCCATCCCCAAGTCATCACCATTTTTCAGTATGGCTGGGAAGAAAAAAGACCACCTCCAATCATGGTAGCTTTATGGCAGCCACATCGACATGCAGTGGATGGGCCGTTGCGAAATCCGATAAACCACCAATTTTGGATGGTTGAAACCCAAACAAAATTGGTTTACAAACACCCACTATAGATATATCACATTATATCACCTATAAACCATAGTTACTGGAGTTATAGCCCTATAAATAATGGGATGTTTACCAACTATCAACTGGTGATTGGGATTTTTTATCAACCATCCACAGTATCACAGAGGGATGTGGCCTCCCTGATCTATCTCAGCTCTGCCAGGTTCACCGAAGTCTTGAGCTCCGGCATTGGAAAAGTCTTCGCGAATGTGTGCAGCAAATTGGTGTACAATGACAATGGCAAACAACTTATATTAGTATAGAAAAACAAACACTATAAGTCTGAACAAGTAGAAACGTGCCATAAATCTATGTTCATAGATTCATAGATCTTCACTCAATATCATGAGTTCAATCAACTGTATATAGCTTTCTTCTTCCCCTATCAAGATGACCAACATCACTTTCTGGGAGGTTAGCAATTATTTCAATTGATGCTTCCTCCAAACATTGAGATTTTTTTGTGGTGCCTGTCCATGTCTAAGCTTGAAGCTTGGGATCTCCAAAGCGAAACAACATGAACAACGCATGATGTCTCCAAAATGGTTGCTTATTTCCCAAGAAGACTTGGATTTGGACCTGAACATGTGCTGTACCCCAAAATCCCACGATTGATCTGAACATTTTCCCACACAAAATGATGTCATTGTGTGGTACACCGCCCCATTTTCAGACCCAATTTGAAGCCGAAATCACTTTCAATTCAGCCACACAATCACCATAACTCCCATGACATACCTTTTTCAGGTGTACCCCTTCCCACACCTGACACCAAGTTCACCAAGCCGTCCCCACCTGAAGCTTCGGTCGCGCTTCGTCGCCGCTCGCGGCGCTCACAAGGGCCTCGAAAAAGGAGCCGAGTTTTTCGATCTCTGGGAGGAGCCACAGTGGTGACCAAAATAGCTGGTATAGCTGGATGATTTCTTCCGTTACCCTCTGGTTATGTCAAAATAGCTATTGAAAATGGCCATTTATAGTGGATTTACCCATTCAACATGGTAAAAATAAAAATGTTCCAAACCACCAACCAGTGTTTGTTGGTTTATAAACCATGAAATAATCCCCATGAAAACTAGTTCGTTATATCTACCATAAACCATAGTTAACCACTATATCTTTACTGTATAGTATAGCTGGATGATTTCTTCCGTTACCCTCTGGTAAACATACAAAAAGCTATTGAAAATGGCCATTTATAGTGGATTTTCCCATTAAACATGGTGATTTTCCATAGTTATGTTAGTTTACCAGAGGGTAGCTGGTATAGCTGGATGATTTCTTCCGTTAAAAATAATTTAGTTTTACTCCCCATAAACCCAAGTTATATAAGTTATTGGATGTATAAACCTATACTGGTTGGTGGTTGAGCCCTACCCCTCTGAAAAATATGCTCGTCAGTTGGGATGATGAAATTCCCAACTGAATGGAAATTCATAAAAATGTTCCAAACCACCAACCAGTGTTTGTTGGTTTATAAACCATGAAATAATCCCCATGAATACTAGTTCGTTATATCTACCATAAACCATAGTTAACCACTATATCTTTACTGTATAGTATAGCTGGATGATTTCTTCCCCTAACTATGGTATGTTTTTTTTTTTTCGCTTTGCTTTTTTCGCCATCCCTATATATCCAGTCTTTGGAGATTTGATTAATAGGTGATCATCTATAACAATAACTACAGAACTAATTATACTGGTATGGTCATCCCAGGTGTAAAACCACGTATTTCATGGATTTCATGGTGGGACTTAATGATTTAATGGGACTTTTACTGGTCACACTGGGATTTAATGCTTGGTGAATTTGTGGCTACAATAGTCTGACCCGTCCGGAAAAAGTTCACCAATTGGAATTTTTGAAGCCGGAAGAATCTTTTTTGCATATCCAAGATCTTGAATCATCAGAGTGCCAATCAGCCAGATACCCTGCAAAAAAATGAAAATCCTTAGCTGGTGAACGTAGAGAATCCCATACCAAAAGACTAGTTAGGACTGGTTTCTACCCATCTAGTCGATTGACCTAGATATAGACTAACATAACTATGGAAAATCACCATTTTGATGGGTAAATCAACTATAGATGGGGTATTTTCAATAGCTCAATATCCAAGTGCCAGTATTCCCATGACTACCAGAGATCTTTGGATCATATCTCAACCATTCTCTGTGGTAAGCTCCAATAGAGCTCCTCCCACAACATCGAGATCTCCCAGCCAATAGAGATTTGTCTCAAAAGGCATGACCATCATGATCATCATGATTGTGATCATGATTACAAAGTGGTGCCCCCAGTTATAAATTGGTTTATAACCCTATTAACTATAGTTATATCTACTATAAACCATAGTTAAGCAACTTATAAGGCAACTTAGCCATCTTGGGGGTCCCACATTGTATGATCATGATTATGATCATCATCACGATTATGATATTCAATGACGGACGGTTCACTAGATACCATGGGAGGTTTCTTGCTCGCAAATTTCGGATGGAATGGGGTGACCCAAAATTGTCAGAGAAGCCATGAATACCGTTCAGGAAAAAAAACAGGCAATGACTTGCAATCAGAGAATTGTGATGGGATATTGTGGAAATTTGATGAAATTTTGCATTATGATGTACTTCAACTTCAACTTATTTCAACCACCAGCATTGTATAAAATATACGCCCGGCGGTATTAGACGATTACTTCTTGTTGGTCCCTCTCCAAAAAGGAATACCCCTGCCACTTATGGTGAGATATCCTATTCTTGGTGAGATACACATCATTCTTCGGTGGAACATATCATTTGAATTTTATATTAACATAGCAACCCCAAAAAAGATACTGGTTAAATGAACCTTTTCTATCTTTCTTATATTGTTTTGTTTTTTTTGGGGGGGCTACTATATGTCTATTATATATATAACATGTAATATATATATATATATATTACATGTACATATAAAACTGGTTGGTGGTTTCAATCCCTCTGAACAATATTAGTCAGTTGGGATTATTATGCCCAATATGGAAAAATAAAACATGTTCCAAACCACCAACCAGTATATATATATATATGTATCGATATCAGCGGATGAGTGACCGAAGCATAACATTGTGGGATTTTTCTCAGAACAGTCTCTGAATTGCGACTACCAATGTTTTCCATGCTGTGAATACCATGACATCGTAGAATGAACAAGTAAACAACGAACCATCCCTGATTTGTAGGCTTAAATCCTCTCAAATCCATATGGAATGACTACTTGGGGTTGTAGTTCCACTTAGAAGTGGTTAACTGGTTATGCAAACCAAAATAGAGCGGTTAGACCCCAACTTCTGGGGGGTCTTACCATGGTCAATCTTTTGCTGGTTGGCTGGTGAATCTTTGCAATTTCCAAGGATGACCCAAAGATGACCATTTTTTTGGATGGTCCTTTATCTAGCAAATGCCATTGAAACTGGATGGGTACTCATCCAAGGTCCAGTTTCTCTCGGAGTTTCTACCCACGTGGCCTTCACGTCACTGGGCAACTCACCATCATCGGCAAAGGGCCACCAATTGCCCGAAGCCTGCGGAGTGGAGGCTTCGGTCGTGTGTTTTGTTTCCTCCAAAGCTGACTCAACTGCAAGGATTGGTCCAAGACTGGATTTTGGGTTTTGGATCAATCGACACTGTTGCAGTCTCAATTGAAAATAAGACCGAAGTGAAAGAATAACCAGAGTCATGTTTGAGTTGATCCTTGCTCGGAAATGACAAACTAAAACAATGATAGATGAATTCTTTGAAAGTCCGGGTTTCCATACAACACATCATCTTGAAAAGGGAAAACCATTCGATGTCGTTGGTTGTGTTGGGTAGGATCAGGTAGGGTATTGTCATGAGTCAAGATTAAGATATGCGATGGCATGTAGAGGAACATCCCAATGATATTTATGGGGTGGGTCATTTTGGGGGATGTTTTTCCAAAAGTGCATGCCAGGGTTTTGAGTCGGTAAGGTTGCATTGTTAATCTTAGATACCCTGCAAAAAATGGACCAAATTCTTTGCTGGTGAACGTAGATATTCCCATACCAAAAGACTAGTTAGGATTAGTTTGTATCCATCTAAGATTGACCTAGTTCACTCATCATCATAGAACTAGTTGTTTACCCATAAAAAATGGTGCTTTTCCATAGTTTGACAATCTAGTCGATTGACCCAGTGGATATTGATATACGACCGGAACAACGACATTAGAAATGCGGGCGCCCATGGGCGCCCACGGGCGCCCACGGGCGCCACTCGGACATCCCTGGTCATTTGATGATGTGTTTTATATCCTGGGGATCCCTGGTGCGGATCCCTGGTACTACATGGTTATGTTGATGGCAATGGTTATGTTGGATATTCATTAATGGAAAAAATAGCCATTGACAACTTAACATAACTATGGTATACAGATGATTTCCCTATCAACATGATGATTTTCCATGGCAAACTGTTAAACCATCAGAGAGTACAGGATGGTGCCCCCGCAGATATGTTTGCTGGTTTATAAACCCCATTAACTAGTTCGTTATATCTACCATAAACCATAGTTCATTCAGCCACTTTTTTTAGGTAACTGAACGCTATCTAACGGGGACCCCATCCTGTAGTGGTTCTCCAATGTGGGGCCCCCAAGATAGCCAAGTTGGTTTATAACTCCCATAACTATAGTTATAAGTACCATAAACCATAGTTATTGGAGTTATAAACCAACTTAGCTATCTTGGGGGCCCCACATTGTACCAGTTTTTTTTTTTTCCAAAGACCACCATTTTTCCATGGCCTTTGTAGCCAGCTGAGCTGCCTGGGCCACACAGGCCAGCGCAAGCACTACCTGTAGCTAGTCAAAGCTGAGGAGATTCGTAAGGGAAACCCACCAATTCATTCTCATTTACTATTACTGTTCTTTATGATCATCAATTAAAACTTGTTGTTGTTTATTCTGATTCATGATCATTGTTTCATCATTATAGTTATCCTTTATTATCATTTGTTACCAAGCAATGATCGTTGTTTACTAAAGACGGATCAAACCATCAGCGTAAGATCACCGTTGCTTCACTGATTCACTGTTTCGTTGATGAAAAAAGATAAACACTTTGTGAAATTCATTTATTCACTTAGACAAGTGAAATAGAATGAAATAGACTAGATGCAATGAACGTTGTGGTATTGTCCATCACACTTTAACGAACACTTCAGATCATCAAGACACATTTTTTCTGGATTGTCCATTCATTGATATGCCAGATGAGCAAAACATAGCTATTAATGGAATATCGTTATTCCATTAATGCTATTCTTTTGTTATTAAACATAGCTATTTTCATATAGTGGACTGTTGCAGGGGTGTAGCTTGTCCACATTCGCGTCGCTGATCACTATGCGATCGAGAATGGGCAGCTTGTTCCAATTCACATTCCTCGTAATGGCTATTCTACAATGTGGGGCCCCCAAGATAGCTAAGTTGCCTTATAAGTGGCTTAACTATGGTTTATAGTAGATATAACTATAGTTAATAGGGTTTATAAACCAATTTATAACTGGGGGGCACCACTTTGTACTCCTTTTTCATCCATCTGGGTAAATTATAACAACCTCACTGATCTCCCTCACTATAATCATAGTTAGTAAGGGGAATCATCCCCAAATGGCCGCAAGATTCAGGTTAGTGAAATATTATAATTTACCCAGGTCAATGGATGTCTATCCCCTATTGAGTGGAAAAAGGCAAAGTGAAATATCGTCAGATGCTCATGTAGCATCTGGGAACAATAAAACTGGCTTAAAAAAAGGATGCAACTTACACAGAATGGGGATCTACAATGATCGTGATTTATTCAAACAACATCTAGGGGTCAACACATCATCTCCGTCATATCCACTGGTGGTGCTTCAGCTACCAAGAAGAACAGGGCTCGATAGAAGGGCTCTGTTGCTGCTCCAGTTTTTAGGGGCATCAAATACTGCTCCAAATGGCTCAACAAACGAAATGGTTGCGGTACCCTCCGGTAAACTAACATAGCTATTGAAAATGGTCATTTATAGTGGATTTACCCATTAAACATAGTGATTTTCCATAGCTATGTAAACGTTTACCAGAGGGTAATCAAATCCGAACTTCATCTAGCGGTAATTACTCATTACCATCCCATCACGCGCAGCTTGAACTTAGAACATCCAGACCATGATGCAATGATCCCAACAGCGAATAGATCCCTGGTCGACTCCCGATTCACAAACTGCGATACTGGCTGTTTTTTTTTGGGGATGCGGGGGTACCGAATCTTAGTAGCAAATTATGGCTGATGCGCAAACTGCGTCCGCAAACTGGCGTCCTTCTTGGTGCCCCTGCCCGGTATGCCATGGCTGGACTACATTGAACTGAACTGCTTGAGCCATTTGGCGCCGCCGAAGGTCAACTAATGTCAACTAGCACTGCTTCATCCGTTTTTTGATGGCCACAGCGACATGGCTGCCATAAACAGCGACATCCATTGCTGGGTTAAAAGCAGTGGAATTCAAGGGTAGTTCTTGAAATTTCATGGAACAACGCGCTATTTTTCACGGAATTCCCTTCTCTTTTTGACACCCAGCACTGTAGACAGGATCATGTTCCTCTAGCTGTTTAGCCCTGTGATGATTACCCTCTGGTGAACTAACATAGCAATGGAAAATGGCTATAGAAATAGTGGATTTTCCCATTAAGAATGGTGATTTTCCATTGCTATGTTAGTTCACCAGAGGGTAGTAGATATTCTTAATACTACATTGTCATACATACCACTCACAAAGGCAAAGCTCATGATGCCAACTTTCGTAGTCACCAAAGAATTCCCCCAAAGAGTGAACCAAAACATGGCGCAAGCGCACCCTGGTGGCAAAAAGCCCTCCGGCCAATAGGGTCGCCATGGCCCGGTGAGATGTGAAGTCTGATGAATCTCTGCGGATGAACGTTGATGGCTAGATTTTTAAGATGCCCTGGTGCCCTTTCCAGGATGTATTGATATTGTCTGGATAGGGCAGTATCTTGCAATGTGTGCAAAACGCAAGAGAATCTTGATAAAAACACACATCGTTGAAGGGGCCGAGAGAGCTTCCACTCTTGCGAAGCATCTTCTTTTGAACCTGAAGGCCCTCACTGAAGCCCTGAACCAAAAATCACGGAGCCAAAGCCTGATCTGCGGTGGCCTTTAGCCAAACTCAAGTTCTAATCCCAAAACCTTTGAAGAATGATTGTTCATGGTGGCCAAAAATCTTAAAAATCTGTCTCCCAAGCCCATGATGCCGTGCTGATATCCGCAGAGTTTTGAATGTTGTGCTGTACTCCAGAAAGTCAAACACATGTCTAGCAATTATATATACAAAATATTGAAATCTGCATATACCACCGGGAAAAAATTGAAGTGCGATTCCCACATTCCTACTAATCTTGTGCAATTCCCACATTCCTTCTCTAAATTATTATTCCCACATTATATCGTACGGTGGATGGTTAAAAAATCCCAATCACCAGTTGAAAACGGTGGTAAATCCCATTATTTATAGGGCTATAACTCCAATAACTATGGTTTATAGGTGATATAATGTGATATATCTATAGTTAATGGTGTTTGTAAACCAATTTTCTTTGGGTTTCTTCCGCATCCAAAATTGGTGGTTTATCGGATTTCGCAACGGCCCATCCACAGTATCTCCAGGTTTTTTTAGGAGGCCAAGTCCAAGGATCTTGAAGAATTTCAAGATTCAGAAAACCAGATGTATTAATATGTATATATCTCATATGTTATATACATATAAATATATATCATAGCATATTGTAGTAAATTATAAAAGTGTATATATATATGAATATAGTATGTATATATATATATATGTATACGTTTTCTTTGTTTTTTTTCTAAACACATGTTATACCCGTTATATCGCCATGATCTACCCGCTGCTGAAATCCCATCCCACGAAACACTGGGCTTCGGCGCTTTAGCCACCTGAAAATAGAAGGGCCAATCATTGGATATTCAAGGGATTATCCTCTGGTGAACTAACATAGCAATGGAAAATCACCATTTTTAATGGGAAAATCCACTATAAATGGCCATTTTCCATTGCTATGTTAGTTCACCAGAGGGTAATCCTATGGTTCTTTAAATACAATAACTGGTTATCCATAGATTATCCATAGATTATCCATAGATTTTCCATAAGTCCCATACTATGGATAATTTATGGATATGACTGGTTGGTGGTTTTTCGCCTACACCTCTGAAAAATATGAGTCCGTCAGTTGGGATGATGAAATTCTCAACTGAATGGAAAAATAAAATTCATGTTCCAAACCACCAACCAGCCACCAACCAGAAGATAACCCTGTGAAACACTGGGCTTGCTCCACCTTAAATCAAGGGCCATTCATCAAACACCCAAACTTGACCATGACAGGCGCGCCACTTTTCATCCCATGTTTTTAGACGTGGCAAAGGCCCGTCCTTTCCGCTTGCGGAATGGCTGGATGAACTTCGAAAGCATCGCCGTGCCCTCATCTGTTTTTTTTTGTATTTCATGGTCAAAACTTGATCACCATGAGAAACTTTGATGTCTTGAGGATTTAACAGGGTATACATGTATACATTGGAACAGAATGGGACTTATATAAGCAGCACTATGACACGGGTTTGTCTCAAACTCGGGGATACCC